AACTATATACCTTCCTCGTAACTCCTAATCTTCAACTCATTAAGTATTCCTATCAATCTATCATAATTCATTTTTAAAGTCAAGGTGAACCCATAAAATAATTATATGATAAAGGAATAATAAATTCCACAATGACAAATTAGCCCCATCTCCCAATGATTTCTTCTTCTTTTTCTTTTTCTTTTTTTTTTTTTTAATTTCTCCAGTTAATAATGACCAAGTCCTTGTTTCATCATAAATTCTCATTTATTTTCCAGATATATACTCAAGGAATAGTCAAATTTATGAGTCCTTTGTACTACTAATAATTAATTTCAACTACACGCCTATTTCTCAAAAAGAAAAAGAAATACACACCTCCATTGCATTAGTCCAATTAGTTGAATATCTCAACCTGTGATTTTTCTTCGTGCAAGAAAACATAGCCAGCAGATATTGTATGAAGTAGAAATTTTTGCACTGCCATGAATGATTCTTTGTCGGCTGCTTATTACAGGTTGCTTGAACAAAACAGGCACTTAAAGAAGACTAGTAGCTATGTAGGGACTAATAAGAAAGTTCCAATATTTAGACTCCATCGCTCATGTCTCATTTTCACATTGAAGCCGCCTGTACGCTGTAGGACAAGCTGGAAACTTCTCGGAAGATAACGATTTCACACTAAAGGTCCATGCCTTTCAGGAAATTGGCCTTAATTCGATTCAATTCAAAGACAACATTGTGAATCTCCATTCTCTCTCTCGGAAACTTTTCTGAACAAAAAATTCCAACCTTACTCATTGAAATCAAACACTTCAGGATTTTATCAGTGTCTATTCCCTCATCGACTTCTCTCAGAAGTATCGGATCCGTGACTTCTACCACACGGTCAGGCAATGCCATTTTAACGTAATTGTGAAGTTCTGTTCCATCTTTAAACATGCTATCAGTAGGTCTCTTTCCTGTAATCATCTCCAACAGTAGGATGCCATAGCTATACACATCTCCGACAGTTGAAACCTTGCTTCCCATGGCATACTCTGCAGTAAGTTTGTTAGCATGGTTAATTAATCAAAGATGTCTATGACATTTTTTTTATTAAAAGCTATAGAAAACTAGTAAATAATGGAATGTATAATCCTTCTACTGGTGTATGCTACCTGGAGCTGTGTAGCCAATGGTGCCTTTTAATCCAACGGAGCTTGTCTCACTCGAAGATAACTGAGAGGATGCTTCAGAAAGGAACTTTAATAATCCAAAGTCTCCAACATGAGCAGTCATATCTTCGTCGAGAAGAACATTACTTGGCTTAAGATCACAATGAGCAATAGGCATTTCGCATTCGTTGTGCAGATAGTCGAGTGCGTTAGCCACATCAATTGCAATATTTAACCTCTGAATGAGATTAAGATTTTTTGGCTTGTGCACTTCCTGATCTAATGTATGGATTGGATGCAACCACTCTTCTAGACTTCCATTGACCATGAACTCATAAACAAGAGCTTTGAAATCATTACCTTGAAAATCGACGCAGGCATATGCACCTAAAACTTTGACAAGATTTCTGTGCCTGATGTTGTACAAGGCTGCACATTCTGCCATGAAGCTTTTGGAAGCTCCTTGACGTTGTAAGTTGAATACTTTCACAGCAACAATCACTCCATCCAATGCGAGAACTCCTTTATACACAGATCCAAAACTACCGGAACCAATTAAATTGGCAGAAGAGAATCCATTAGTTGCTTGAACGAGGTCTTTGTATGCTACCCTTCGGAATGGTATCTCCCATGACAACTCTGAAGTGGGCTTATCTTTTGTTTTTCTCAAGCAGCACAAAAACAATAAAGAGGTCATCAATATTAATCCAATAAAGCCACAAGGAATTGTGACTATCAATATGAGCCGGGTAGAAGGTTTTTGCTTTTTTGATTTGGATGTGCATGTGGGAAGATTCAACTGAAGTATTCCTCCACAAAGATTCTCGTTCCCTGAAATTGAAATAGCACTTGCATTCCCAAAGACACTATGCGTAGGCACCTCACCTTCAAGGTCATTAAATGACAGATCCAAACTCTTCAACAACATGAAGTCTCCCAAAAACTTGGGAATTTGGCCAGTCAAGTTGTTGTGAGAGAGATTAAGATCTCGAAGTGCTCTCAAGGAACTCAAAGACTCAGAAATGGGTCCTTGGAAGAAGTTCCCACCCAAATACAACCGTTCCAAACTCTCGCAACTGCCAAGACTCGCAGGAATTTCCCCTGATAGCCTGTTTTTGGAGATGTCCAGGTGTCCCAGATTCACTAACTTACCCACTTCAAAGGGAAGGGAACCAGTCAGTTGATTTCCAGAGAGGACCAAATGCATTGACAAGGATGAAATGCTAAGGACCTCTTTTGGTATGGGACCACTCAGATTGTTTTGGGAGAGAGCCAAGACCAACAAGTTCCGGCAGTTTCCAAGACTTGGCGGGATGCTTCCCTGCAAATTATTTTGATCAAAATTAATTTGCATCAATGAGGTGATGTTCCCTAAAGAAGAAGGGATGCTCCCAGATAATTTGTTGTCATTAAGAAACAAATCACCTAAATTTTGTAATTTACCAATAGAATTTGGTATACTGCCAGTCAATTGATTTTCCTCTAAACCCAAAGCCTCCAAGCTTATGAGGTTCCCAATGCCGTCAGGAATGCTTCCACGTATTCGATTGTTTCCAAATGTCATCTGCTTGAGTTTCGTTGAGAAGTTGCTAACTATATCAGGCAGCACCCCTCCAAAATTGTTGTAATTTATAGCCAAAGCTTCCAACTTGCTGCTGTTTGAGAGGGCGTAGAGAAAGGACAAATCATCATCCTCGACATTTCCAAGATCATTTTCCTCCATTGAAAGCACCCTTAGATTAGGCATGCTTGCTAAACTGGGCACTTTGCCGGTGAATTCATTGGTTGAAAGATAAATCTGAGTAATTTTTGTGGAATTTAAGAGTGTTGCTGGAATTGGTCCACTTAATCGATTGCCGTGAATGGCAAGAAATTCGAGATTTGGAAGACTTAGTCCTATGATTGGAGGAAGTGTACCATGAAATTGATTAAAAGGCAGAGAGAAATGGATGAGAGAAGACATATTGTATAGGAAGGGAGGGATTGTACCACTCAGATTATTTGAGCCAAGGGCAAAGAAGTTTAAAGTTCTCAGTTTCTCAATACTATTGGGAATACCCCCTTGCAAATTATTCAATGTTCCATCAAATTTAACAAGAGATGAAAGATTTCCAAAAGAAAGGGGTATCTGGCCATGCAGATTGTTTTTTCTAAAAATAAATGTCTGTAGCTTTGATAACAATCCAAGTCCAGGAGGAAGATTGCCAGTAAGATTGTTTCCCTCTAAATTAAGGTTAAGGAGATTTGAGCAAAGAGAAATGTTTACAGGAATTTCACCACTGAAAGAGTTGTTACCGAGGACCAATGTCTCTAGCCGAACCAAACGACCTACTTCTTGGGGAATACTTCCGCTGAAACTGTTGTTTTCCAAGCTTAGTAGCCTTAGAAAACTCAAGTTCCCAATGTGGGGAGATATGCTTCCCACCAGTTGGCTGGAGGGTAGGTCAAGCTCTACGACTCTTTGATGCTGCTTTCCGCATGTAACTCCTGACCACTGACAGAAGGGTATGGATTCATTCCATGAGCTTAATTTTTCAGAGGGGTTAGAAATTTGAGCCATGAAAGCTAGTAGGGAGAGTCTGTCTGTCTCGTTTCCTCCTCTAGGAGTTGAGAGGGAGAAAGAGTGTTGAATCATTTGCAAGAAAAGAAACCACAATATGCACGAGCTCATGCTTGGCAGCTCCATATTTTCTCAATGGGGTCTATATTAGAGATTTAAGCTGTGATGAAATCGCTTGCTGTGCTGCAACTATACAGGAAAGGAATGAATGGGATTCTGAAGATGAATTCAAACAAAATATATTGTTGAATCATACAAGCATTTTCAATGATTCATATCAGCAAACAATGAATTAAGTAAACTGTGTGCAGTTTAATTGCTTAAAGAAAATTAATGTGAACTCTCCAATGATCAGTTTCCATGAAAATGAAAGGATCAATTAATATCTTTAAGATGCATGCATGTGAACTTTACGAGTTGGTAAAGGCATTGAATAATCTGCATCCTTTGAATTTTGACCGATTAGTGTTTACACTTAATTTTGTTTCTTAAGGTCAACTATGACATTTTACCATGCCAGCCCAGCCGTGGTGCCTGTATCTATCATGATTTAAGTCCACATATGACATTTTACTACCCCGCCGCCGTATTGTCCCCATATATATCATTCTTCTAATTTAAATTAAAAATTTTAATATGAAATAGTAATAAATATGTACAAATTTAAATTTCAAATAGTTTCTTTAAAAAACAAGCTGAAATGTCAATGATTAAAGGATTAATCATTGAAAGTTAATCTTTTGATGGTTAAAAATAACATATAAAAATTACGTTTGTCAAAAAATAATAACTTGAGATTCTTTTAACTTAAAAAAAAAATTAAAATTGTCAAACCGTAATAGTTTGGAAGAAATTTTTATTATAGAACCAATTCAAAATTAAGCATAATATAATGGATTATGATTCTTATGTTTTTCAAAACCACAATCAATAACTTTTTTTTTTTTTTTTGAAATAGGTATTTAACAATCCACAATTACTTTTTTTTTTCCCCCTTATTTAGAGATTCTCATTGAATGGTAATTTCAACCAAAGAAACTATTTTGAGAAAAAGTATTTCCTACTAGTGACTAATGAATCTTTACAGTCAAATTAAATAAATGCCTTTACTTATAACTTTCCAAATCAACAGATTGTGCCACATATAACATATTTCATTTTTACTTCTGTGTATATATATCACAACCCTCTAGCTAACTCTCTCCATCTTTAGCACCACCCATCTTGCAGATTAGCAAGCTCTATACACCTATAAACCAAGACATTTTATTACCTAAAAGTCTCAACTTTCTTTCGAGTCAAAAATGGGTTCACTTGAAAATAATCGATACTTAACAATGATACTTCTTGTTACCATTATTTTTCTATCATGTGCCGACCTAATCTTGATAGCCAAGGCGTCGAGGGGATTTCCATGCAAATATGATCCCCGAGATCCTGGTAAGTGCAAAGTCGATGAATCTAAATCTCCAAGATTTGACGCAGGAGGAGCTAGTGTGAGGTTCGGCCTAGTCGTACGGAGGATGGTGAGTAAACCTCCATGCGAATATAAATCTGGTTCGTGCACAATCGGTAGACCACCATGATATGACGCAGGAGGAGGGGGAGTGGTTTGACCGATTCAAATAACGAAAGAGAAATCCAGGGCGGTTTTCCCTTATAGTTCCCAACATCTAGCTTGGAAGGCACGGCTCTACCCCTAGCGTGTCACTTTTTTATCCATGGTTTGAGGCATCTTAATTATTTTTATTTCCTTTGCTGGTTTTCGATACTTATTTTGATCACCATGTTCTTGTTTTAGCATGGTCTGTTCTTTTTTGTATTTATATAGTTTGAAAATCACAATATACATTTGATGAATATTTTGATCATGTTCTTGTTTTTAGCATGGTGTGTTATGTTTTAGCATGGTGTATTCAAGAATTACCAAAATCCTACGTCACTAGTTGAAATCAAACACTCCAAGTTTGGTCAGAGCCTATAATTTTCTGATAAATTTCTCTCAAAAGTATTGGATTCACAACTTCTACGACATGGTCAGGCAAAGCCATTCACAACTTCTAGCTATTTGTAGGTCTCTTGCTTGAATTTATCTCCAACAATAAGATGCCAATATTATACTTCGGAGTCAGTTTGCGTGCTTGCTTATTAATCAAAGTTTTTAATGACTTTGGAGATACCTTGTAATTATTCACATGGTAGGCAAATAAAGAAGAGTCAGTCTTGGAGCTAACAAATATAAAATTGTGAAAGCAAGGACACACTGAATAGTTAATGGTTTAACTATTGAACTGAATGTTTCCCCGTAATCGATGCCTTTAGCAACTAGTCTGACCTTATACCTTTCAATGCTTCCATCTGATCGCTTCTTTATTCTGGAAATACCACTTGCTGCCTATAACATTCATGAAAGTCATGGGAGGCATTAAGCTCCAAGTACGAGTTTTCAAAAGTGCATTAAACTCTGTAGACATAGCTGAAGGCCATTCCGCAATTTTTTTGTTGCTTCCAAAAAACAAGTAGGAGTTTCCGGCATTTTTCCAGGAGGGCAGTCGTCTGTTTGAGGTTGAATTTGTAGAGGAGAGGGAGAGTCTGAATGCAGACCGGTCATTAAGGGATGTTTACCTGAAGACAGAAGATGAGAACCAAACGAGGGATGCCGAATTGGAACACTAACCCAAGGAAAAAAAGAATTTTTTGAAATGGCTTGTGGAGGATTATTGTCTGTCTAGGAAAATGAAAAAAAAAAAAAAAACTTTCCACCAAATATACATGATAGGCAATGTAAAACCGATTTGTGATTTGATCAAAACAGTGATACCCTTAAGTGAGAAGGGCTATAGCCAAGAAAGACATGGAGTGGAATGAAAATTCATTTTATTTTATCATAAAGGCGTATGTCATCTCCCAATTTTTTTCCAAAATTTTTTTATCTTTTTATGCCATTTTTCTTTACTTTATTTTGGTTTGTTTTCTTATTATTCATTTGTATTTTATGTCATTTTCATTTTAGAATCTACTATTAAAAAAAAAGGAAAAAGAATAAAAAATATAGAAAAACATACAAAATACAAAAATACCCCAAAAAAAAATTAATTGAATCAAGGGGCTAATTGAACAAAAAAAAATCAAAATTAAAACAATTGAGAATACAATCAAAGCAATTGAAAACCCTAGGACTAAAATTACAAGATACAAGAACCTAATTGAAAAAAAATTAAAAATATAGGAATTATAATGACTTATCCAGTGGGTACAATTATTACAAGTTAAACTAAAATAAAATGAATTTTTTGAAATGGTTTGTGGAGTGTTGTTTGTCAAGGAAAATGAAAAAAAGTGCTTTCGACCAAATAGACATGATATGCAATGTAAAACCAATTTGTAGTTTGGTCACAACAGTGTGGCACTCTAAGTGAGAAGAGCTATAGCAAAAAAAAAAAAAAAAAAAAAAAAAAAAAAAAAAAGCAATGGAATGAAAATTCATTTTATTTTTGTTGTAAGGGCATATGTCATAACCTAATTTTTCCCCCAAAAATTTTTTTCTTTTTATGTCATTTTTCTTTGCTTTATTTTGATTTTTTTTCTTATCATCCATTTTTATTTTATTTCATTTTGATTTTGGAATTTATATAAAAAAGAAAGAAGCAAGAAGAATAAAAAATACAAAAAAAAAAAACATATGAAATACCAAAAAACTTTTAATTGAATTAGGGAGCCTAATTAAACAAATCAGAATCGAAATTAAAACAATTGAGGATACAATCAAAGTAATTAAAAAACCCTAGGACTAAAATGATAAGATACAAGGACCTAATTGGAAAAAATCAAAAATATAGGGATTACAATGACTTATCTAGAGGATATAATTGAGACAAATTAAACTAAACCTATAGGGACCTAAATTGACATGAGGCATGAATGATAGGATCAATTTGGAATCAATCCGAACGACACTGTCTTTCTAATACTCCTTAATTATGTATGATGGCTTGCCTATCTTGTATCATGCTATCCTCTAAGCTTTGTTCATCTCCATTAATGACTAGAGGGACAAGGCTGCCGACATCTACGGCTCCTATAATTGTGGTTACTTGCACTTGAACCCAACCTACCTACACAACAAAAACACCCAAAATAGATAAGATAGACAAACATAAGAGACAATTTCTTTAACTCTGTTCTTATAGAGCCAAAGCTGACATCAAAGCTTGGAGGAGTTGTTTGGTTATGGGGGAAATTTTGGACTTATGGAAATTGATCCCACAAGTGAGGAGGAGCACTCTAAGTATAAATAGGAGTCGAATTTAGGATTTTGGGGAGGAATAAAGAGATTTTAAAGAGGGTAGAGAATTGGGGTAACGAGAGAAATTGGATTTTATGTATATCGAGATCCTATATAATTTAAATTTTTTTATTAAGATCCTAAGTTTTTTTTCTATCCAACTTAAGAGTTATACTCTTTGTTTTAGACCCTAATATATCACGTAAGCATACATGAAAAACTCTAGTTAATGATAGTTTGCCACATGTCATGGTGGGCTCAAATTGGATTTTAACAAAAATAATAAATTTTTTGATGAATTTTAAATAATTAAAAAAATAATAAACCTAAAATAGTTTAGGAAAATATAATCCAATCCTTACCCATTAAATTAAAAATCGCTTCTCTCTCCTATCCATTTAAGTTTCTTTTTCTCTTTCCTCCTTCGATCTGCAATCAAAACTTACAATTCCTAATTTTCAAATTTTAAGCCCTCATATCTAATCCCTAATCCCCAAATTATAAACCCTAATCCTCATTCCCCCTTAACCTTTCCTCTTTCTTTCTCTTTTTGTTTTTTTTTAATCCATAATTTTCAAATATCAATTCCATAACAAGAATGATTTCGTCATCAACATTCTCTTCCTCTTCCAAGCGTTCATCGATTTGTGCTCTTAGTGATAAAGAATTACAATGGGATGAGAAAGAACTAGCAATTGTGTTACTATGGCATGAAAACAAGGTAGTGTCGTGGAGTGATGACCACCCAACAACAAATCTAGAAGTAAACCCGGAATTTATGAATGATCAATCACATGTGTGCTACGCATCATAAGTCTTCACCCTCTATTTTTTTTATCCTCCCATCAATAGAAACAAGTAGCTTCTAAGGATAAGGGTCATTTTTGCAAAAAAACTCTATACCTATATTTGTCATTCCTAATCAACTTCAAATATCTCCTACTACTAATGGCACACTTAATCGGAGCGATTCGACTTTCTTTTTGTTCTTAAAAGTCATACAAAGTCTGGAAATAAGGAGGATTTGAAGCTAGGTCAAACATGACCAATCTGTTTTTCTTTCTTATGCCTAACTCTTTATCGTGGCTGCTTGTAGTAGCAATCTTCCCCTTTATGTGAATTACGGTAATCCTTATTTAATTCTTTTTCTACTTGTTCCATCTCTTTTATTAATTTCCTTCTCTCTTCGTTTCCCTTCACATTTTCCTCTAAAATTTCTTCCACACGTTTCCCTATAAGTTTCTATCCATATTTGTCCTTAAGTGTCCCTCCACATTTCTCCACATCCGAAAATTTTTATAAATCGTGCATGGAAGGTGAATCTTGTTATAGTATTGATACAAAATCATCAATTTGAGCTACTATGTATTAGTATTTAGTAAAAAGATCTTAATTAAATAATTAAATATATCTAGCATTTATGATGATAATAAATTCAAAGATCCTTCATGAAAATAAATTTTTGTGGAATAATGATATTTAAGTTTAAAATTCTTAAAAAAGACTCACGGGATAATCCAACCATATGAATATATTGTCATAATTAAAGTTTTTACAAAATCTTATTTAGTATTTTGAATTTTAAATTGAAATTTTTTACAAATCATACATGGAAGGTGTATCTTGTCATATTACCGATACAAAATCTATAAAGTTAGATAGTCGAGATTATGTTCCATCCAAAAGACTTAAGCCTTCGGTGGATGGCTCCTTCTCAACCTTATATGTTAATCACCTTTGGTTTAACCATTCAATGTGTGATATGTGCTCTAACACTCCCCTCACTTGCAGCCCATCTTTTTGGGGTCTATCAAGTGGCTTGGGCTCAAGGATCTTTCTCGAGCCATTAGGCCTCTTTGAGGCTCTAATACCATATCAAATGACCATCTTACCTAAAAGTTTAAGATGATATGTGAGGTCCTCTTGGTTAACTAAAATGCGATACCATAGTAAATGATCATCTCACCTTAAAGCTTAAGTTGATAAGTGAGGCCCTAGAACATGATTCCTGAAAAATATTATTATCTAACACTCCCCCTCACTTGCAACCCATCTTTTTAGGGTACGTTAAGTGGCTTGAGCTCTAGGATCTTTATTGGGCCATTGGGCCTCTTTAAGACTACGATACCATATAGAGTTAGATAGTTGAAATTCAATTCCATCCAAAAGACTTAAGCCTTCGGTGAGTGGCCCCTTCTCAACCTTATATGTTAATCATTTTTTGTTTAACTATTCAATGTGAGATATATGCTCTAACAAAATCATCAATTTGAGCTACTATGTATTAGTATTTAGTAGAAAGATCTTATTAAATAATTAAATATATCTAGCATTTATGATGATAATAAATTTAGAGATCCTTCACGGCAACAAATTTATGTGTAGTAATGATATTTATATTTAAAACTCTTAAAAGGGCTCGTGGGATAATCCAACCATTGTATAAAAATAGATAAATATATTATCCAAATTAATTTTTTTACAAATCTTATTTAGTATGTAATTTGGCATTTTAAATTGAAATTTTTATAAATCAACATGGAAGGTGAATCTTGTCATATTATTGATATAAATCATCAATTTTAGCTACTATGTATTAGTATTGAGCAAAAAGATCTTATTAAATAATTAAATATATCTAGCATTTATGATGACAATAAATTCGGAGATCCTTCTCGACAACAAAATTATGTGTAGTAACAATATTTATGTTTAAAATTCTTTAAAAAAGCTCATGGGATAATCCAACCATTCTATAAAAATACATGAATATATTATCCTGATTAAAGTTTTTACAAAATCTTATTTAGTACGTAATTTGGCATTTTAAATTGAAAATTTTTATAAATCAATACGAAAGGTGAATCTTGTCATGTTATTGATAAAAATGATCAATTTTAGCTACTACATATTGGTATTTAGTAAAAAGATCTTATTAAATAATTAAATATATCTTTCATTTATGTTGATGATAAATTCGGAGATCCTCCACGGCTACAAATTTATGTGTAGTAATGATATTTATGTTTAAAATTCTTAAAAGGTCCATGGGATAATCAAACCATTTTATAAAAATAGATGAATATATTACCACGATTAAAGTTTTTTACAAAATCTTATTTAGTATGTAATTTGGCATTTTAGATTGAAAATTTTTATAAATCATGCATGGAAGGTAAATCTTGTCATATTATTGATGCAAAATCATCAATTTGAGCTACTATGTATTAGTATTTAGTAAAAAATCTTATTAAATAATTAAATATACTAACATTTATGATGATAATAAATTTGAAGATCCTTCACGGCAGCAAATTTAAGTGTAATAATGATATTTATGTTTAAAATTCTTAAAATGGTACATGAAATAACCCATCCAGTGTATAAAAAT